AAATTGTACGGATTATTGGTAATGCGTTATGTTTTGTTTTTGTTTTTGCCTTGACCTTGTCTATTAAAATTACATTGAGATTCAAGTTGAAAGGTTTTCACAAAAGGAAAGCAACTACATGTTTGCATAAATCTCAAATTTCATGTACAGAGTGATAAAAGTCCTCTTTAAATACCTCAATTCTTGGTAAATGTTCATTTAATTTTATTTACTTAGTCAAATGCAATTGGTTGATCAATTATATCACGAGTTATATCAGCTTGTTATTTCAATTAGCCGAATCTCCTCTGTAACAGCACGTATAAATTAATGTTATCGAATAACTCCTCGAATATTACACTGTTAGCATGTTCCCTAAACTAAAAAAACGATGAAGTAACTGCACCAGTCTTTGTTTGTGATTGATGACGATGCTGCGCCACATAGAGTGCTACATTCATCAAGACATACACTTCCACAACCAAAAACAAAACAAAAGTACAAGAAACAATATAAATTATCGATAGAGCTGCCAGAATCAGCTTAGGAGAAAATAAAATATTTAAAAGACGAATACACTGTTCAGTAAAACATATTTTTATTGCATTACTGTGAAAGAATTGCGCTCAGCAGACCGGGGTGTTTTCATCACTTGGCTTCACGGTGAGTGGTTCCCCTTTTCACGTAAACGTACACGTACATTTCGGCACTTTCGTTCATAAACAATTAATTTTAATTACAGCACGCGTTCGTTCAAATTAGAATATTATATTTACCTAGGTGCACGATAGAACGATTTTAGCGAATCTACGGTATGGTATATTGATTATATTTGTTTTCATATAATTCTGAACAATGTTTCATTCGTTCCCAGTGTGTTAATCGGGCCATCAACAATTAACATGAACAGGAAATACAACTTGAACATGTTTCACATAAAAATGCGCATAAATCTGTGGTCACATTTATTTTTTTAACGTCAGTACCTTTGTACTTCATTTACTATATGCTAAACAATCAAATGATTTGAATGCAATATTTTGTAAAAGTAATAAAATTTGCAATCAGGGTGAGCATAATAATAGTTATATCTGTTCGAACACAGTAAACTAAATATTCTACAAATATTAACAGATCTCTAACCACCCAGTGGTAATGTATTGTGTCGGCACTTGAAAGCTTTTAGTGCGATGCGCATTCGAGGGAGGCATTTAATTTATTTACAGAAACACTGAAAGTAGCTGTTGAATGGAGATGTTCGACGCTACTAGAAATACATTCGGCAAACGCGAATAATGCTTTGTATTAAGGATCGTTCTTGTGTACGCCGTGCTCCAATCCACCCACATCTACTTGAAATCCGACAAGATAAGCAGATACACCACATTAGACGGCTTTGAATACAGTCCATGTACGCCGTTTCTTTACCATGTTTAGAACTATTGTTTAACCGCGTCACCACGACTTTTGAGATAATACGTACTTGATTTTAAAACTATAACAAACCTTATAAAGTTGGCCAACTGAATCCAATTAATCAAGCAGGGTTTGTCGATGTCTGCACAAGCAAAAATAATCAACACAGCATTCGCTAATTAGAACTTTGTAACTATGTTATTCAGGTACCGCGGTAATGTATCCAATGATTCGTGTGAGTAATACTTGTCGTGGCACTGATTCCAATTACCACGGAAACACTAATCGGCAGCCATCTAGGCAGCACAAGATGATATCACGCTGCGATGTCAAGTGTTAATCGTTAAATCAAATAGGCTGTTATTCCAGCGATAGCGATTCCATTTATACGTCACGTGTTTAACCACTGAACGACCCCACTACAAGAAATGAAATAGACGCCTTCCTCATTTTGCAATGTTTATTTCGTGAGGCGTTGTATCATTTATGAAGTTAAGTTCTGTGTTTGCGCAGTAAATTTTATCATTTTTGAATGGACGTGTCCAACACCGGCATTTCCTGGACACTTCCCGGTGATTGGCTGATTTAAAGAACGAAAAATACGTCGGGTATGCGAACTAAGTTTTGTCGTTTTATAAAAAAATATTATTATACATCTGTCACCGTAACGCCATATGTTACAGCGTGCCGTAATTTTGCGGCGTTTTACGGGATATTTTCATTCTACCATATTAGGAAATGCGAATTCCAAATGTGGAATGATCACGCGCGTAAGCGTCCTCTAAACATAGTTAAACTCTGGTGACCTTGCCCTTTGTTATATAATATAATTCCCTTTATCATAGTTTGTTTCAATATAAATATGCATTGTCATAATTAATTTTGAATACAAACAAGTTTTTGAACCAACAGTGGGGAATCAGTCTACCGAATGTCCTTAAAAGATGTAAATATCTTACAAAAACATTGGTGCCTTATTTGTTTAATTATTTTAAGGAACATAATTTCCAGCTTTATTCAAAGTAATTCAGATATTTTAGAATAAAAACAAATGTCTCATTGCAAAAAAAAGTGTGAATAGATTCATAAAACGTGCAAGATAACAGAAAAATTTAGCTGGCTTTAGTCCACGTATTTTGTACAGGTGTCTGCCAAAAATTAATGATTCACTGAGACAAATATGAACTGCCTCATTGTGTGACTACTGTATTATATGAAAAGTAAAAAAAAACACCCTTTATGAATAGCTATCATGTTGCAAGCTCTGCTTTGTATGCAAATCAACTTAAATAGTTGGTGTCCAGTGGAGGGAGAAGTCAACAGTACTGTTGCCTCCTGAGAATCTACATCTTCAAACACTGCTATCTTTAAAGTGCGTTTTTAAACTAGTATTATAAAAACTCTATCATTCTGTTCTAATAGCTGAAACATATTCCTGTGAGTTTTCATTTGTCGAATGAACTGTTTGTCAAAAACAGAATACATATATTTTAGAATAATTTTCTTTTTAAAATGTGGATGAAATGTTTTGCTTTTAATGTATTTTTTTTGTTTTTGATTTGATAACTTTGAACTAAACAGATTTTCTATTAGCTTCAGATCTTGATCAAAGTTAGCACCCAGTTCATAGGAGTGCTTATATTGATTTTCTGACATCTTGTTTTCTGTAAAGATTTTATTGGTAGGTTTGCAAATGTGTATCAGACTGTGCAATCTCTCCATGAGTTGGTTTTGAAACCCAGTATGGAATTCTGAGATACATTACCAAGGATATTATTACAAGATAAATCATTTGCTTCATTGAACACATACAACAATGCATATTTCCACTGAGATCAGTGACCTTTGATGTGTATCACCAGTGATCAGTCAAGTAGAAACAGTCAAAATATTTTATCAGATTTTCTCAATTTTTGCATGATATTTTCATACAGGACATCTGTTGTTCAAACTCAGGGAAGACTTTATACTGTTGAATAGGGTGACCAAGTTTGATAAAGTTTGGAATAGAATTAGTAAAGTTATTATGCACACAATGACAATTATTAACGACGACGACGCCGACGACGACGACGACAACGCCGGACAAAATTTTTCCCTTAATATACCTTTCCCTTCCATCTTTGATGGTACGGGCAAGGTAATAATAAAAAACAAACATGGCTGCTACCAGAGTTTGACCGGGCTCCACACAAAGAAGTTTCCGATTCTGTTCTAAACATTTTTCGGTCGATACTCCAGCTATACTTACTGTCTTCGTGTATACTTTGAGGTATACTAGTAATAGCCTCATATTAAGACTATGCGGTGGGAAGCACAATACCATGTTTAAGTGGAAAAGAGTTCCAGGACACCGCACTTTCTACTGTTACTTTTCATTTATTTTACGAAATCATTCGCTCAGCAAAGTATTGCTTTTGTACTTTCGCATGTTTTTAGTCAGCCGACTTGTCTATCCACGAATATATAAAGCTAATAGGATCTCCATTGACGCTCATTCTAAATACCGGTTTCAAAATAACGGTTGCGCAAACCTATCACAATACTCACAATGTTGTACAAGTCCGTGACCAAGCACACGTGTTCATTGTGTAAACATATACAAATTGCATAATGGACATCGATATTTCGAAAACGGATATATATTTGTTACGTCCGCACACTATTAAACTGTGTATATTTCTTAATAAATTGCAGGCACCTTTAATTTGCATACGTAAGGCGGTGGTCACAGCCCGTGTTCGAATTTCATGTAAACAAACAATGTATTTCCCATATCGAACAGGACGCGACGCGACGACCACCACCCGCCATGAAATACAACACTGCTACGTGTTTCCAAAAAAAACCTATTATTTTCATATCGTATCCAAACATGTAATGAATATTCAAATGAACGGGAATTTAAACGTACAATCATACAATGACTATCACTGTCGTTTAGCCACTGGCGCTAAAATGCAGACAACTCCGATTCATTATTGAAAGCACTATGTATAGAAAAAACTACCGCGTTATATATGACATTGTATTTCCATGTGAATCCACAAAGGCACGTGATGCATATGTTTTCTCGAGTGTTTTAGTTTGATTATAATAATTCACCACAACGAAGAGGAATACTGTTTCCCTCCTCGAATGAATAACCAGTTAATTATTTTGCAACTGGAGTTAGAACATAAATACAGCCCCGATAAATTCAGGGGTTGGTCGTTATGTGGTGGTATTGAATGAATATTTAACTGTCCGCTATAGTGTGTCGAAGAAGATTTACATTACTATTACGTAAATTATGCAGACTTCGAAACGATTATCGAACACGTCACTATCGTTCCGTCTACCCAGCGGTAATGTATGCTGACAAATTAGGATACGAGGTAGTAATATAACCAATAATGTTCTTCGAAGGAGGAGGGTTAAACTGCCCATATTATATGCATCACGAAGCACAGTATGAATTATTTAATGAAGGCGAAAATGATAAGAAGCTCCGGTCCTATTTGTCAGATGTGATAATTTATTTAGTAAAACGTATGTTTTATTCAGTCGGGAGTGTTGTCGCGCGTATAAAGCCCCTTGATACTCGGATTACTGCGCAGATAAGCGTGCGTATTGAAGGAACGAACCAGTCGTCAATAGGTGAGTGATACTATTTGCAAGTATATATGTGATTGTTTCGAATTGCCTGCGGAGACATGCAATCCAAGTATCTTGGAATGTTATCCATGATCATAAAAATGCTATCATTGCTTTGAAATGCGATTGCTCGATTATTTTTCTTTGTTTAAGTAGTAATATGGGATCGGTAAAACTTCGTATGTACGCCATGCTTGAATTCGCGTTGTTACGTTTATCTCACCGGCAATAACACAGCTAAAACTTGTAATTGATTGAGTTTTTTTTAAATTTAATGCAGATATCCAGACATTATACTCATTTTTTTATTACTTGCTAATACAAAATTTAACTACAATTACAAATTTAAATTTGAATTATTTATACATTTAGAAATGAAATGATATCAATTGCACCAGTTCGAAGAGTCAATTTTAAAGTTTTAATATACCTTGATAAAAATAGTACTATTCTTGTACATATATATTGTGTGTCAGCGATGATTATGTCGTAAAACCTTTAATTTCCAATAATTCAATGACAACAGGTTATTTAAAATAACCGGGCAACATTTAAGAGATTGGTCGATCGTGGTTAAGGATTAGCAAAAACATTCAGTATAGGCGATGTGACTATTTTTTAAAACTTTCTAAAAAGGAAATATTTTGAAATAAAAAGTATTGATCAAAGTATTTTTAATTTTCTTTGATTTTTATTTCCCATTTAATATTCCCATAACTGCATGTGCTGTGAATTTACTTATGGTTCTCGAAGGATGAAGAAAAATTACACAATACATTATTTCCTTTGGAGCAGTGTTTTCTTCATCTTCATATTCTAACTATGATATCATCAGTAGATCATGGCGACAGATGTCTCCGATAATTGGCACGATCATATTAATATTATATATTGCTACCTTTATTTTTTTATTAGTTCATATCCCTATATATTCTAAATCGATGGTCGAACATATTAATAGTGACTACGTTTTTGTTACCCAGTTCCTAACAATGAATTACTACTCTGCAATAGTATATGTTAGCGTCTCTCTGAACATGCGAGTCTTAAACACAAAACTGCCTTACATCATGAGCATTTCAGGTAATCACCTTAGATGCTTGTAGATTAGCGAGGATCGCGTACTTTCTTCCATACTTTTCCCCAATTCTCGTTATTTCAGGGCACTGGAGCAAGTTGAACAATACATAACCGCATTTATGAACATACATGTAATGGAACCATGCTGTAATTGTTTCATAAAGCGTGTTACATTATGAGACAGTTGAACCAGTCTGCCATAATATTAAATAATTAACTCTTTAACTAAAGGCCAGCTTTGATGCCACTCTGGATTATTAAAAATCCAGTCTTATTTACCTCCCGTAATTATCATTGTTTATACTCCCTAAAATAAACGATGGCATTTTTTGCTGATTTGTAACATGTACAAGTACAACAACAACGCCGTACATTAGTGACCCACGACACCGATCTTGCGACTTTACTACTTCAGTTGCGTAAATACCATGCGTGTTAAAGAAAGGTTGATCGATGTTTGTACGTTTCTGATTTGTTTTTTTAAACATGCCGCTCAGGCTGATGTTTTACTTTACTAGATTCGAAGCAACACAGTTTATTCTGTATGGTAGGCACTAAGGTGTGTGAAATATTGGAAACGTAATTGTAGTTAGCGCACATGATGAAAATGATCCACAATATAAGTTATATCATATTGGTATTCGTTTATCATTGTATGTAACACAGCCAGAGACGAGTATTGCACGTGTTAAAATAGGGTAAACTGGCCCAGCAAATGCTTTCTGTCGTAGATTGTACAAACTCATTTATTGCGCAAAGTTCTTATTGCGATACATCATGTGCAATTACCTATACAATTATCTACTATTTAAGTCTAACAACATGCCATTTGGGGAAGGTAATATGAGATAACCACTGATTAATTTTTGTTTATGCCCGACCTGATCTTTCAATCGCTGTCTTCTCATCAACTATATGGTGCATAATGATAACACGCCCACGCGATACACCTACTTTACGAGTTTTAAAGCTATTTTGAGCGATCGGAGAAGAGGTTATTTGGCACTTTGATTTTGTTTAAGCACCCTTCGCTTCCACAAATCGACATGTCATTGCATTGTGGTTGCTAATGTGATCTAGCCATGCGTGTTTCGTGGAGTACCGCTGTTATTGAAACTTTAAGATCTTTAAATGACGCCATATTATTGCGTAGAAAATTCAATGTCGTGACGTCACAAAATGATTACATGTTATTTGTAAAAACCTAAATTCGTTGTAAAAGTATATTTCATGGCAAAAAATTGCGTCGATACATTCTGTGGACAGAAAATCGCATTAGCACAAGCAAAACAGATTGTCAATGTTTAAAATATTCAGATAGCGTTTCAAATGTATATGAACTCAAACATACGATTTAACGTCTGGTCATAATTGAACATACTGGAGAAGTAAGTTGCGTTTCAATTTAGAACACAATATCTCACTACTTGCTTCACTATCCCACCCTAGTGAAACAGAACTCGTGTATTTGTGATACAGAGTAATTACCGCCATTCAGTTCCTTATTTTGTTTATCTCGAAGCTGTCTTGAATAAACCAAGATAAAAACAACACTTTGCAAGATACTAAGATATGTTCCCTATGTTACCAATTGACTTAAATTGTGTTTCTCTGAGGGGTAATGTTTATGATAATTTCAATCAATCAATTTATTGGTATCATACTACAGATTAAATGGATAAATAAACGACTGAACAATAATTCCCAAACTTCAGCACATTATATAAATGATTTATAAGGTGAATTTCTTCAGACATCCTAAATCATGATTGAATGCCGTTAATACATTACCTTGGGTAATCAAGGCAGGCTGCGGTGTCCGCAGAGGGTGTCCGTCACAGCACGTGTGATGTTGCTGAAGTGCGAGCGGAATACGTCCCTACACCTACAAACTAATTTGTCGTCTTGTCCACTGTCCCTAGTGCCTATGCAATACAATTTACGCTTATCAAAATGTACGCGACAACAACGTACGGCTATAAAATTGATCACGAGGGATCAGTGCGAATCGTCACAGTAACCTGTACAGTGTTGTTTATATAAGTATCTACAATAAAGAATCCCGTATTACCAACTATGGTATCGCTTTATAAATAAAGGTTGTGAACAAATCGTAGTCACTTTCCTTGAAAGTGATTTATTCATAAGCAGTGCTGTTTGATTTACAATGTATAATTGTGGTTAACTTGCAACACATATTGTCAATTGAAGTGATATACGGCTTTTTACAGTCAGCTGTGATTCTTAATATTCTTAATAGATTCAGATTTTGATTTATTTACACCTAAATAATATTAAACATTCAACTGAAAATACGCAGATAGTTTTAGTGGGGGTTGGGGTCCAGTTGGGTTAATAACCTCATTAATTTTACTCTCCTAACACAGAAACGAGAAAATAAATACTAAAGTTACAACACACAAAAAGAAATATAAACATACAATTTATCAGTTTTAGTCATAATTAGGTAAATAATTGACTTAATGTTACGAAAATGAGTTTTATGAATGTTTGGTTTTGAAATACGACAAAGATAAAATGTCAAATGTCGAGCAGTAACGTTTCAGTAGGGAAACTTTGTGAAATTGTTCAAAACCAAGTAACTTTCGTCAGTTTTTTTCAGAGTACACCAAGTCACGTTTTGTATAACTAGTATAACTAAGTCGGCATCGGATGAAATGCACTAATACTAATTAACGATTAATTAACCATATACATATATATGGGTACCGAGCTAGTTTATATAGAAACAATGACTTTGTATTAAGCTATACTTTGTTGACCTTCCATTTGAAATGAAATTTCATCAAAATACTATAATAATTGTTACATATTCAAAAAACTTTTACATGTATGCACTCACATGTACCCGTAAACGTTCGGTAATATAAGCAACGACAAATATTTGAAATACTATTTTGGAAACCGGATAAGTTGTGTGATGACACATAATATAGTACGTATTTTATGTGCCGCGATTTTCGTTCTCCGATAATTCTCCCGAGATATGTGCAATAGTTGTACGATTGCACACAAGCACGACGATAATTACACAGGTAATACACAGGTAAACATACATTTCCTTTAATGTAAATCTATATTACATACATAATTGGCAATATTATAGGGAATTGTTTATTATTATTATTTTTCTTATACGGCTTTTTTCAATAACGTTGGTCGTCGCGGAAATTGTACACACTTACTACTCGAAATTCCCCGCACGACAAGTGCATGACACCGACAAACAAGTCGTAATAAACACTGTCTACTCATGCGACACCACTGGCATTGAAAACTCCTTGATGCGCACTATGCCTCCTAATTACATCCAAGGAACTTATGGGTGATGAGTTTTCTTGTGCGTGCGATGTCCAAAAAACAGAATCAATAACACACGGTAGATGATTGTAACCATAGATCATTAAACACTCGAAAGACCACAATTAGGTTTTCGTGAAAATCTTCTGAGAATCTAAAGTAACCCTTGAATGGGTGAATAACAAATTATCAAATGACAAGAGAAGGGCAATTATCACCTTGTTCTGTGTGGCTTAATAATAAACTATCTGATTGACGAACTGTGTTCATGTTCATCATTTAAAAACTGATTTAGGGGAGATTAACCGGTAGCGCGGGGATGGATGCTCATTTATCAGACCAATTCTCTCGGGAAACGAGGCTTTCTGAAGGTCAAACACGAACAATACATTTACGTTTTCATGAAACAACCATATGCTGTTAACTAATGCACATCTTGCGTGCACTTGAACTGAACAACAAGTCAACACGCATGCCTGATACGGTAAACCAAAAAATAGTCTATAATTTGTCCAATTTATCAACAAACTCTTGTCGACAAAAAGTTGTCAGACCATATGTGTGACACAAAATAGTGGCACGTTGTTAACGAGAATCAGGTTCGATGTTTGTAAATAGAAATGGGATTTTACACCAAAGATAATAACTTAACTTCCTAAGGTCACGTAGCACGTCATACTAGTTCAAAGTAGAAAGTAGTTTCGGTGCGCGTTTGTCAGTTGTGAGTGTTTCAGCGAACGTTTCAGTTTCACAATTAAATCGATTTTTTAAATATTCATAAACAATGCGTTGCAAGCAATGGGAATATGTGCTTCATTGTTATGTAGTGTTTTCTGCAATATGACTCCAGTTACGATCTGTATACGTCATTCCCACGAAGCTCGGTATGTTAATTAAATCGTGAACCTGTTACTAGTTTCCCGTGGAATATATGAGCGTGGGCAGGGAAGCGTTTTTCAATTCCAGGTGTAACCTCTCACAAGTGAATCGTCCATTATCTTTATCATCCGGAACTGATCTTATTAAAACCATACATTTTCGCACATATCATTATATATTAATAATATATTTCATTCTAAAATTAATCGAGGTGTTTTCATTTTTACAACCCAATTTCCTCGATCAATCATGGTTTCATCTTTATTTTATCTAGAACATGTATATTTCAGTAAATGTGATAAAAGATTATTGTTATTTGAAGATTATACTAATACTTAATATTAATATTTTACTTGTATCTTTTCTTGTGTGTGAAATTGTATTCTCAGTGTGCTTACTAATATACAATACAGTGAAATCTATGTCTGAGTTTTTAGACAAAGCGCGCTGTTTCGGACTATATGACCATATACCTAAGATATATGCTTGCAGACTGAAACAACATTAATATTATAGTTTGTAAAAGTTACTTCAAAAATTGGTTATGGAATAACGTATGGTGCTTGGAAATCAATTTAAAAAAGCCTCCCACTTTTACGAAACTACAATAGTGCGTCTTGCTATATGCAAGATATGCGAGGCTTGCTGTATTCTCTGTTTAATTCCTAGCTAAACATGTTGTATGTCGCTAAAACACATTACTTAATTTTAAACTATGTTACAATAATGCCGTTTTAGAAATAATTGCAAGTGCTAACTGAAAATTTACAATAATTATGTTTTAATTTCAAGTTCTTTTATTAGTATTACTACTTTTTTTATAATTCATGAAGTTTTCAGTGTTTGTGGGTGTACAATACATTGTTGTCATTGGCATATCTTGAACTATCAAACATGTTTATGACATTTTACTTGATAGTGGGTCACCTACACATATACATAACCTTAGTCCCAAGCGTGTTTGATATACAGTCAGCTGCCCAACCTAACACCGCCATAAATCCTGAAATGAAGTGCGTGCATATATTTGATTTCCAGAAGACGTGAATCTAAGATTATTTCAACAAATTTATTGTGAATTTGCGTTTAGTTTATATTTTACTGATGTAAAAAAATTGCTCTGTTAACACAAGAACCATACTCTTATTAATACTAAATCATAATCTGTTCTTGATTATATTCCTTCCAGATACTCTACTAAAATAAAATACCAACATGAACCGTATAATAGTTGCACTGTTACTTCTTGTTTTGGTTGAACTCACGATGGCAGGAACGTATACTCGAAACAGAAATCGCTCAAGAGGCCGTGCACCTGACAGCAAAAGAACAATGGTTTGTGAACGTATAACTAATCTTTTGTTTGACCAAAGCCAACTTTCATTAGTGTTGTTAGTTTGTCCGATATTGTTGGTGTCCATGAAATTTCAATTTCAAGTTTTAAAATGTTAGAATTAAATTTATATGAAGACGCCTGATACGTCTGCTGAAAGTAGAAAAAGAAAATCATTTATAATAAATATAGCACATAACACATTTTCATTCGTTTTTATAAGTGTGTGTTTGTCGCTTGCCACGAAAATAAAAACATTATTTAAAATTTCGATATATACTGACACTTCGAACGGTTGAGCAATATTACAAAATGTATTTAGGAGACGGTAAATCAACGATTTAGTTGAATGATAAATGTGAGCTCATTGTGTTTCACCCGCCATATACAAATAATAGCGAAAAAAGCGTCTTGTTATCAAATTATGGGTAGCGTGGTAATGAAGTACACAATTTGTTTAGACATGTAATATGTGATTAATTTCAGAAATGCGGAGATGAAGACAATGAAATCGACATGTACGATACCATATGCTGCGATGGGTTTCCCGTGAATGCGGAGAAATGGATTTTACCTGAATGTTGTGGACCAGAAGGTTACGATGCTCTTACTTTCGACTGCATGGACGGCAGAATAAGAGAAAGATTTTAATAAGCGTTCGGGAGATGGATACCTGATGTACATATTGTTTTCAGACAAATGAAAGTTAAATATATAGAGCGAAGTTCCGACATGATCGACGTACAGATTTGAACAATTAGCATTCAGACATTAGAAATCACTAGCTATATCACGCTCAAGCTATTATGAGTACTGGTTATTTACCTAACATTTACAAATAGATTATTATCGTGTTTTTTCTGTGAAGTAGATTATCTCTGCACTTTATCCATTATAGCCTAACTTTTCTGTATTATAAAAACCAATGTTAGAAATGGAAGCTAACGATTATAATAATGTAACGTTACGGAAAATATATGTTGTTTTTTATTTGTGTCAGAATATTTATATTCAAGCCCATACATTTCTGCTACTAGTTTGATTGTTTATTTATTTGCATCATCTTTATCGCACCTCAGATGGACAAGAATAAACGCATATGTTTTTAATTATTAATGAATATTGTATCTGTTATCATTGCTGAGAGTTCGTCAATTCTTTTTATGTGCGGAATATATGACATTCACTCTATAATTTAAACTAGATATCGATCAATATCGCTTAATTTGCGATAGTGAGATCGTTTTCAATTTGTGTAATTTGTTTATCGTCGTCTGAGTTGCGGTTTTCAATTGTCCCAAAACGAACACACACCCTGTCTTTCCCAATTCCCGTTATGTATTTGTGAAGCGTGGCACTTTTCTAAGGTGAGAATGTAGCACAAATTGAACTCATAAAATTGTTCTCTATATTTAGATATTCTAAATAATTTAAGTGGGTTTAAAATTTGACCTTGTCAATTTTAGTAAATAAACGAAAAAATACCGCTTTGATGGTAATTACGCGTCTTTTTAATTGAACAAGCGACGAGTTATATAGTGACTACAGCAGGGATTGTTCTATGCATTTATAAAATGTCGAGGTAATGAAACAGTAGATTTAGGGCTGTACTTGTAATTATATTTAAAACATTTATAGCGATGACATTGAAAAAAACTGTCAATTGAGTAATCACTTTTTTTTCTATACAACCATACGACATCACCTAGAGGCATATACGTATATAACGAGAAAGCAGCCAGCCAATATCATGAATGTCCTGTCAAACTACGGGGTGTATGTCGCTTATCGGAAGGAAAGAAAGACAGTAAAGATACGTAATTAATCACCTACAGCGAATAATCTGTTTGCTCGAGCAATATTGTTTTTTTTCTTCCTTAAACTACGCATTCGAAAGCAATCAAACTACTGCTCACACCATGTGAAATAATTATAATATACATAAAACATCTCTAATGGATTCTAGTCGTGATACTGAAGCGAGTATTGGTGACAGTGACGTTAAGCTGTGCAAACTATTTTTTTCAAAATAGGTGTGACGTTGTAAAAATTATTCATAGATATGCCACTTTATTTGGCCTATCAACACCCCTTCTTAATAATATCGGTCGGTATGTTGCTTTAAATTTCATTATCGACACTCATATTTTATTGAAGAGCACGATTTAATAATGCATCGCAAAAATAGATTTCTGCCCCAAGAGTCGGTTAGGGATGTATAAGGAAGACCGAGGGCTGCCAATGAGTCGTATACGTTGCTCTCATTTATGTTAGTAGTTTCCGTGTAAGTGGGCTAAGCATCATTGTAAGATCCGGTACTGTGTCATTCGGAAAGCGTCACCACAGTTGACTTCACCCACATTCACCAATAAGGTAAGACTTCGTTTTGTGAATCACATTGTGTAATATGATATAGGCTGACAGGAAACGTTACGGAAGATCAAATCTTTTTGTATATAAAATATTACCTCAAAGCTCTGTTATTTCTGAATTGATTCTAATTTCAAATAGACATAGTTTCAGTTATCGTTGATAAAATTTCGACTTTTAGCATCGGGGCTACATCTATTTCACCATCTACATTCTCGATAACAGGCGAGATGCACCAATCAACCCTATTATTTGCATTGTGCTTGCTGATATTTGCCGAGCCTTTCTGTTCCGACGCGGAAGTAAGTCGTGGTCGCGGTCGAGGTAGAGGAAGAGGACGGGGACGAGGTATATGGAAAAGAATTATGGTTAGTAGTATGTATAATTTTCTTCAAGTTGTATCTCTAAAATATTGCAAAATATTGAGCATTGATTGATTTGATTATTATCGGTTTAATTGTGTTGTATCATATAAATGTTCAATCTAATGGTAGACATGTCTTACGTAGTGTTACGCATGCATTGGTCGACTTAATTGGATTCTGTTATTTCCAATGTAGGTGTCATAAGAATAATTATATCCGGCAACATATAGCACATGCTTGATTATATAGAACTACAAATACTTTGCATAATGCAGACAGTCTGCGGCGCCAAATGCCAATTACATATAAAGCAATCATACACTCGTGTTTTACATGTGTTATGCCATCTAGTGTAGTTCAATGTAAATAATATTCTTATATGGGCTGCTATCTTAACAATTTTTGGATTCCAATATCTCCGACTACGTAACTACATTCCTTCTCGGTAAAACCACTAGTAATTATAAAATAGAAGGTCAAATTTACTTAAAACGTGACGCTTTTAATTATGTTAAGCATTACTTATTTAAACCAGTGCAAACATAACTTTAAAATGGCCATCGTCGGCGGAATAATATTCGGGAATTGAAATAGTGTTTTTTTTTACGGATTCGTGTACACACAACAACAAATCCATATATTGTGATGTTACAACAAAGCAGATAAACTGACGCTTTATTTAATGCTAATTGAATAAATATTTTACTTCACTTTTCAATTATAATAATACGGCCAGAATAGAGCTCATGACATATTTATGAATATATATACACTAATATTATGAAAGAGTTTAACTGTTTTATTGGTTTTGAAATATGGGAAGAACAAACGACATACTTAGGATGTGTTTTGTATTTATATTTTTGTATGAAATATGGCCTAGTCACATGTAACAAGTACGAGTGTTTCCACTTCGTGAAGTATATACAATCGTAGGTCTGATCTTTTCTTCAACTTGCTATTATCTAGGAATCTGGAAACCAGTTTAATGGAGAGAATTCAGATCTGAACCTTTGCGGTGAAAAGATGATGAGTACAGATGGGTTGATTCTCCCAGCTTGTTGTAACACATTTGTGTACGATGCCTCTCGCTATGAATGTATTGATGGAGAAATTATGAGGACACGAACGGTTTGATATTGGACATTTACGTTATACGCATACGAAATACTGTAGAAGCTCAAAATGATAATCCGAAAACTAAAATTACATGCTCATAACTCAAACTAATAGAAATATAACAATTATAAATCGAATCGGTGGAGAAAAGATATTTGACATTTTCAAACATAAATACTCATACGTGCCTTTGTTTGTAAATTGTACCTGCTGTTTTGTGTTCTTTGGATAATTTCACTTTAGTTATTATACTGTTCAAAATGAATACAACTTTGTAGTTATGTAAAACATACTTTTACAGCTTTCTGTACATAAAAAGTATCACTTGGAGACGATTTCATGCGTTAACACGTCGCGTATTTATGTCACTATACGAGCTACTGCATGGCCAACAATCACTGAAACCGTTATGCCACATTAATTATATTTTGTTTTGTAGTATTTTGAAATATTGTAATAGTCACATTTGTTAAACTGTATATGCATAGGCAAATATAAAGTCAATATTTATTCGGCACGTACGTGACGTCCAATAGTTAAAAATGATCTACCCCAGGTTGTGACATCAGACAACGTGCGTCCAATATTGATACAATGTCAAATTTCAACTTCAGTTTGACGCCACAAAATGTACGTGGTTCCGATGCTGGATAAGTATATCCAATATTGATACAATCTCAAATTGCGACATCACGCTAACGCCGCGAGGCATACGTTGTGTTGATTCGGATAACCGACGTGGTAATCTCAGACGCTGAATTCACGAGACTGACTTTCAGCAATTCTCGCTACAAGACGCCAGTATTTGACATTGTATCGACGTAAATTCAATATATACGTTCTGTACAAAATAAAAAGCATAAAATTCGAGTTGATCCTGAATCAAATTGCATGATTTATTTATTTATTCATTTATTTATTTGTTTGTTTGTTTGTTTGTTTGTTTGTTTGTTTGTTTGTTTATTTATTTATTTATTTATTTAGATTACATATGTTACAGCAATATTGCCCATGGATTTTACATATTTGTATATATATTTTCAATTTGAAATGAAATTATTATCCGAGTTACATTATCTTACAGTGGGCAAAATTGGTCATAATTTACGTTGATTTTGTTTTTGTGAAAATTGCATGGCTAATAAATGTATCATTTAGGGAACTTTGGTTAAGATCCACGTGTTGACCGTGCCTGGTTGACACTGGGATAGCGCATTAAATTACCATTTTATATAAAAGTGTGTCACACAGCTATGCCAGAAGTTCCAAACATGAGATGATTTCTGTGGCAAAATGAAGTCAGAAAAAATGTCTGGTACAAACGTTTGTAAAAAAAATACTTGCCAGTAATTTTAACATAATTGCATGTTGCTGATTCAAAATCATAATGCTTGTGTTTTAAAGTGATAATCTTACGTTTTTTGAACTAACAAAAACAACGTTTGCCGAATACTGATGTTCTTCCAACGTTAAAATTCTACGTTGTTTGAACTAACAAATACATTCAAATTTTCACGTATTTTCAGTATTATATGAACAAACAACTTAGCTAAAGATACATATGTATACAGTTACATTTAGATCGAATTACAACCACGTACAGAAAACAACCTAAAACACCGAGAATCCTTTTGCAAACATATGCGTCCGATTGTTTATAATCCCCGGTGTTTCTTTCGGATTTTGTTTAGAAGAATTCCCCCAGGGTGCAACGGTTGGTTCATATAACATATATATATATATATAGTTGATTAGGTGGTTACAATATAATTACCCAAGGGAATGAAACAGATGTATACATATATATTGTCAGTAGGCAAATATGAACCACAATGAACATTGCATTTGCATGTGTTTTTCCAGCCGACCCCTATTCATCAGGCATTGTTCATATGGCGTCAGCAGATGTCATCAATCGGATTTTTTTCATTTCAATATTATATTTTTGGACCATATTTCATGAATAATAAAATTATTACTGTTATTCATATGTCTCATTATGTATGAGTATAACTGAATTTTATAGCCAATCTTATTGCATATATCATTCAAAAACGAGTTGCCGATACACATTTCTCTTCTGAGTAATTCGTGGTTCATTAATTAAGGAGTAGCTCTATTCAAAATCTGTTACTCAATTATTTAACCACATTAATCAATTATTAAACCCATTTGTTTGCTGCATACAAATGACCAACTATTTGATATCTCGATAACAATAAGTGAATTTCCAAAGGTAAAATATATATTTATGATAATTTATTTTTTGGTCGCGGTTAGAAGTCATTAAAATTGTTTAGGGTGTATTTATCGAGTGTTCTTTAGTCTTGTTAAAATACTCATTCTGAGTAAGTACTTGTAATTAACAATATTTAATTTGTGTACGCAAATGAATAATTCTACAGTACATTGAGCCGAATTGACATGACCACTGACGGATTCTTAAAGACACCACTGGACGTGACGGTGTACTGTGGTAAAGTTCAAAGTAAATATAACGACGCACAGAACAACAGTTTTGTTTATCCAGGTTGAAAATACTTCTTAGTCTCATTTCATGTTCAAATTCTATAATTGAGGCGTATATATGTGTCCCATTGCTTCGTTCAATAAATCCGCGCATAAGTAAATAGTGGTATTTATAATATCATCTGCCTAAATTTGTCTATTTAGGTCAAATTATAGTTAAAAAGTGAACGGGTATTCACAGTTGCCTACTCCAGTTTAGTAATGCCTTTTCGAAACCAGCGTGTTCCTACTTGGCTCAGACGAATTCAGGAACTACTATTCATATAATGTGTTCAGTTATTGTGGGCAATTCGAAGTTTGTTTTTCTCGTTACACACTCTCGTGTAGACATATCGTTTTGCTGAAAAAAACACACAATTACATATCAGCATGTTTATGGGTTTTGAATATTTATGACGTAACGTGACAACGAACATCCAATGTCCCATTTGAATTCCATGGAACGTTACGTTCCATCACATTGCATTACATTACACTTCATTACATTACATAAATACTGTGTTATTTCAGCCTGTACTCACCAATTTATACTCAAGAATGCTGAACACATATTTCGTTTAGCTGAAATCCAATTTTTAACAAAAATTGAACATCGACTGTGTAATTCGAATAAATGCTATATCGGGACTGGAAATCATTTCTGACTAGTTAAAATATTTATTTTTGCTGTGCACTAGATTTGGTGTCATTTAGAAACATGATACATGATATTGTATAGGTCGGGGAGAAACCGATATCAATACACGCTCCGGAAAAGACATAATCCTGAATTGGATTATTGCCTGCCTAAGATCAGATATATTTCATAAGCGTGACCCCCCCCAAAAAAACGTATTTGCTCTATCAGTGTGGCATCTGCAATAGACACACCGCCAAATGTACCAACTCCCTGGGCCATGTACCAATCTTTCATCGATTTGACCATGTTTTGTAATGTATTGCATATGTCATTTGACTGTTTTTGTATTGTGCGACTTTCGTTCAGTGATCGGCATGTTATTATTTCCACCTTGACCATTTCCGCATTTACTAATGTATCAAATGTGGCAGCCGTTAATTATCTAAAATTTCGGTGTATAAAAGGGAATCAAAACATTATGTAGTTGTTGAGGCCTATCTAAAGGATCAGAATGAAACCTTCTTCTAGAAGGGAATAGGAAAAATGGAACATCGGTGGACAAAGTGCATTGAACTTACATGGGACTATGTTGAAAAATAGGTTAAGAAAAATCTGTAACGTTTTAAGAGGAAAGCAGAGAACATATTGATCATCCCCTGTACATTATGAAAACCCGCTTTTAGTGTTGCAATGATTAATACAATCAGTTTTCCAGGAATTAGAAAATCCTTGATGCCACTCACAAATATGTGACTAGATTAAATTCAAGTATTAAGAATGAGTAGCAAAAGAGAAATTTACAATGCCTTTACAGTATAACTTGGATATTAGCATATACATACACCAAGTCACCATCTAATGTTTAGTTAAATATTCAAAAGTCATGTAACATTGCTCAAATGGGTCATTATGTAAATAGCTCGTGGTTGTTGACATGACAACTTATTTCGGTAACATTTTCTTGTGCTATACCTCATGAATAGACGAATGGAACATTCGGACAGACATGTGCCCCTGGTGGAATTTTCGAGCAACATTAGTAACATTAAATTAGTAATCACTGAAATCATATCTTAATGGCTTAATGAATTTAATTTTAAACCAAAATGTATTCTTACACTTCAGTAATAACAATGAAAACAAAGTTAGTATTAACAAAAATGTCAATGGTTGATGCCATCTTTGCATATTTAATAAGCAAATGACCCAACTCCTTGAATGGCTGTGATGTTCGGGTGTACATATTTTAAATAAAACTTGTTTCAATGTAGAATCATTCTGAAATAAAATCCTATCGAAGGTAAATAATGATTGATATATTATTAACGGCATGAACTATTGATTACTCAACAGGAAAATATGTGTCGTGTATTCACACTATACTAACTGACCCCAATAGAGCTATATATAAAAAAAAGTCTCTTTATCTAACAATATATACTGAAAGCGAATAGTGTAACAGTTCCCATAATGCACTTGGGGTAATAGTCAATATTAGCCCATGGAGTAGATATGGTTACAGTACAATCGCTTCTCATTCCGTTGAATCAGTCATAATTTTCTATAGCAGAAACAATATATTACCCTAATAACATAATGACATTCCTTCGTGCCATAAAAGTCGTATCACTTCTTTTCTTCGACTCGTAGTGATACAGTCCTTACGTCAATGATATTTTCCCAAGCTTGAACGAAGAAAAATATTAAGCACTGAATAATATATTATTATTATGCTAATATTTGTCGAATGAAGCTGAAAAAAATGACAAATTGCGATAGTTTGAATAATTGCCATTTATATCGTAGATTATCGAAACATCGTCTAAACAATGATTAATATTTCCCCGTAATGTATTTATCAAACGTTGTTAGCTGTGCGCCTTTGCGACAGATTTTATTCTTCAGCGGGGAGAGGTCACTGTAAATAGGCGACCCGATTTACATTATTATACACGCGGTTTGAATGAGATGCCACGTGCTACAAATTAAAATGCATTGAGATGACAAATGTACGATTGTACATTCGAACATTGAAATGCATATGAACGTTATGTGAGTGATGCTGGTTTTGTTCGCCACTCTATTGGTTATTGCACCGCGGGAAAGAGGCGCATTAGCATCATCCAACGTGATGAGATAATGTTCCGATGCGTGTTTAAATGTACACATGGGGAGAAATAAAATAGTTACCTGCACTCACGGGAAAAAACGTGAGTTTGTAAGTCGAAACAAAGTTGAAATTTTATATTTCTGTTGATAATACATCTTTGTCAGCTACTCGCCTTCTAATATTGTACGCCTGGTGTCAGGAAACATGACCATAACGATGCGTGTTTTCAAAGCTTGTTATATAATAATGTTAGTGAATAATACAGTGTTATGTTTGTCATTATATAAATTATAAACTTAAAATTGACAAAGACAAACGTGCGACGGTCTTTTCTTCGTTGCATATATTTACTTAGCCTGTCGTGTAGGCGTGGGTGCCGCCCTCGCGGGTCGAACGGCATCAGACTCCATAACGTGTGTTGGGTTTGGGCACTGCTGAGGGCGCAACTCATGCTATCTTGTCAGACTAAGATTTACTTGGTTAATGACTCAATCGAGGAAGGTAAGCAGGCTAGAGTCTCCCAATCATACAATTTATGTCTCTGTCTCCAATAAATTGGTTATGGTTGTATAGCTATTGCCATACAATCTTTATAACGCCAGTAACTTTGAGGATTTCCTTCAACAGAGAGCGAGTAGAATTTGTTCCATGAAAACTTAAAAGTTATGGCGAAAAATATTAGAAGATATTTCACAGTATGGCATCTATACTCGAAATTAGACTACAAATTATTTTGTATAGTCTGGTCGTGACTAGATTATAGATACTAGTTAACGGCCCAGAGAATTTCTGTCTTGTGACCTCGACACAAGTAAATTGGGTCATTAACGAGAGATGTTCAATTGGACTTAAACACGCTCAGACGAAACAACTCTTCAGTAATTTGTGTAATATGTATTCCGGATTTAGCAATTTGTTTATGTGAAAAGTCAGTATGTTGCGCTTAGTGGTGGAATTAAAGCTATTTCAATCTTCGTTATTATTATTTGATTGTAAACGACCCACTTAGGGGGTCAGCCGTACAGTTTGTGCTTCAGCGCCCACGTATTTTGTTGTTGTTGTTGTTGTTTTTGTTGTTGCGACCGTTTTCTTCTTTCATTGTTCACTCGTGACATATCCTTTGCATTTATATTTTTGTGGAACTAAGGCCTGGAACCGTTTCATCCATCAATCACATGGGCATTTCCAAAAACAATTTTATTTTAGAAATATTCCATATATCAATACGCCGAGAGTGTCGTCAATTACCCCAATACATTTTTATTATTTTTCAACTCTCACTCGAGCGCAGTCGCTTCTAAAAATAGCTAGTGAACGTAATTCAAGATGGCTGCCATGTTTTGTTGACAGTTTCTGATTTGACATTATAACACTTATCTTCCCACTTAAAATAGAGGATACATACATAATTGTATAAACACAGTCTTCATTGAATGTCATTAAACAGATTGATGCAACGTATTAGTTCAAACATTTACGAATTTAAAAAAAAAAATCTCATGCCACGTCCACTGAACATGTGGTGTTTTGTAACACCTCGATGACCGTTAACATGCCTGTATCGGGGTGCCGTCAATTTCCCGTGTAAATACTACCTTAAAAACATTTGTGTACGCGGGGCCAGCATCTTACGTGTTCCATTGCCTGATTTTATAGGACTTAATTTTAACTAAAAGTGACAGCAAGGAACTAAAAACGTAGTGACAGTGACAGAATCTGAACGTTATCTTTACTTGTATACACCCAGAACCGTGGTTTAAGTTGATAAAACAATGTTTCTATGCTGGCATTAGAAAACGCTTCTTTAGTGTTAGGGTCTTCGGCTAATAATTGGTACCGCCTTCGTGTATCTGGCGATGCACCTTCCATACATTGTTTAAATGCAGAACTGATGTTCAGGCTAATATAGAAGTGTTGGGGCATACTGAAATATTTGAATAAAAATGGCCAATTGACAGGAATTGTGCCAGTTTTGCAGGTACACATTAACATCATTTGTCATGTTTAGCATCATATTTAACAGAAATACGACTTCGATAAGATCAGAAACGCCTGGAAAACAATGTCATTTCAGCTTCACAACAATGGCTACCTAGTCTACTGATGAGAAATACAGCTCCCACAAAAATATACCAGACAGAATATTTTTCTTCTCTCATAAAGAGGAAACTACTAGTATCTCCTCACATAAAAAGACATTATCTTCTCACATAGAAAAGATATTTTCTTCTCTCATAAAGAGGAAACTACTAGTATTTCCTCACATAAAAAGGTTATTTTTTTCCACATGAAAAGGACATAATCGTCTCACATAGAAAAGACAGTATCTTCTCTCATAGAAAGAACACTATCTTCTCACATAGAAAGGACAGTATATTCTTACATAGAAAGGACAGTATCTTCTTACATAGAACGGACAGTATCTTCCTACATAGAAAGGACAGTATCTTCTTACATAGAAAGGACAGTATCTTCTCACATAGAAAGGTTATTTTAGTTCCACATGGAAAGGACATTATCGTCTCACATAGAAAAGACAATATCTTCTCTCATAGAAAGGACACTATCTTCTCACATAGAAAGCACAATATCTTCTTACATAGAAAGGACAGTATCTTCTTACATAGAAAGGACAGTATCGTCCTACATAGAAAGAACAGTATCTTCTTACATAGAAAAGACAGTATCTTCTTACATAGAAAGGACAGTATCGTCCTACATAGAAAGAACAGTATATTCTCACATAGAAAGGACAGTATCTTCTCACATAGAAAAGACAGTATCTTCTTACATAGAAAGGACAGTATCTTCTTACATAGAAAAGACAGTATCTTCTTACATAGAAAGTACATTATCTTCTCACATGGACAATACATTACCTTCTCACATAGAAAAGACAGCATTTTCTCTCATAGAAAGGACAGTATCTCCGCACATGAACGGAACATTATATTTTGACATGGAAAGGCCATTATCATTTTCTGACATAGAAAGCCCTATTATCTTCTCACATAGAAAGGTCATTATCTTCTCACATAGAAAAGACATTATCTTCCCACATAGAAAGGATTTTATCTTCGCACATAGAAAAGACATTATCTTCTCACATAGAAAGGACATTATTCTCTCACATAGAAAAGACATTATCTTCTCACAAGGTAAAGACATTATCTTCTCACATAGAAATAACATTATCTTCTCACATAGAAAGGACAGTATATTCTCACATAGAAAGGATATTATCTTCTCACATAGAAAGACATTACCTTCTCACATAGAAAATACATTATCTTCTCACATAGAAAGGACATTATTCTCTCACATAGTAAAGACATTATCTTCTTACATAGAAATAACATTATCTTCTCACATAGAAAGGTCATCTTCTCACATAGAAAGGACAGTATCTCCTCACATAGAAAAGACAGTATCTCCTCTCATTAAAAGGACAATAACTTCTCACATAGAAAGGATATTATCTTCTCACATAGAAAAGACATTATCTTCTCACATAGAAAGGACATTATTCTCTCACATAGAAAAGACATTATCTTCTCACATAGAAATAACATTATCTTCTCACATAGAAAAAACAGTATATTCTCACATAGAAAGGATATTATCTTCTCACATAGAAAAGACATTACCTTCTCACATAGAAAAGACATTATCTTCTCACATAGAAAGAACATTATTCTCTCACATAGTAAAGACATTATCTTCTCACATAGAAATAACATTATCTTCTCACATAGAAAGATCATCTTCTCATATAGAAAGGAGAGTATCTCCTCACATAGAAAAGACAGTATCTCCTCTCATTAAAAGGACATTAACTTCTCACATAGAAAGGACATTATCTTCTCATATAGAAAGAAAATTATCTTCTTACATAGAAAAGACATTATACTTTCACACAGAAAAGACATTAACTTCTCACATAGAAAGGACATTATCTTCTCACATAGAAAGGACATTATCTTCTCATATAGAAAGGACATTATTTTCTTACACAGAAAAGATATCATCTCACATTGAAAAGACATTATCTTCTCACATAAAAAGAACATTTTCTTCCCACATAGGAAAAACAGTATCTCCTCACATACACAGGAAAGTATCACTTACTTAGAGAGGCTAAGACTTGTTCAAATACCAAATTTATTTGACACTTACATCATGTTCAATACAACATACAATGTCATTTGCAACGTAAAACATGTTATAGACAAACACTAACATACTGACGTGACTCAAAGGGTCGATCAAAGTACGAATAATCATTTAGGAATTAAACCACAAATCTATGTATTGTTAGGAATTTCCATCAGGGAGATTTCATGTTTTCATGACACGTGGTCTTTAGTATACAGTCTACAATACTGCACCCAACGTTGGGAAAATCGAGATATTGGTAGTACAAGAATCTTTGAGTTGGTTAAACTGTAACTAATAATTTTTTCGTAGTGCAACAATCACCACAGTATCTTGAATTAAATGTATATTTCTTAAGGTCAAACTTTTCGCGGAATGGTAGAAATTGAACTTGAAACTTTTCCATTATGATAAAAAAATGTGAATTTGTTCTAACGTTATCTCAAGAAGCAATTCTTGAATCACACTGCAACTTGTTTAATACATCTCTGGTATAATAGACAGAGCTAATTAGTTTTGGGTTGAAACTAAATTAGCTAATTTTAAGTTGTTGATTTTCGTTTGCAAAGCAAACAATGCACTTATCCTTCATGGTAATATGTCCATGAGGAATACATTTACATTAAAAATACACTGCACGCACGACGATTGTTCGCCTCAGTGGTCTGTACTTATCGAATCGAAGTTCAAGTAAAAACTAATTCACGGAATAAATGGTTCAGTTAATACACTTGCAGATTAATGACAACAAAAGAAAAACAGAATCAGTTGACCACGTGTTCGTGGTAATCATTTACTTGAACGCATCAGAGCAGTGAACATCGTAAATAGAGTTCTCACGGGAATGATGAAAATTATTAAAAAAAGAACGGGACATGGCGACAATTTCAAAGTTAGGTGTATAAACAATATATGGTTGATACAAGGAAATTTGAATTTAAATTTTATTGTGTAGCAGGGTGAATGTTGATTAAATATCATTAATATGACAACAACGCATTTTTCCAGCAACTTAGATTGTTCCTGCTGATTACCCAGACTCCTCTATCGACAATATACAAACAACAATTGTTTTCCAATAGTGTATGTATTATTGTTAATTTTCCATGCGCCCATGCAGACGTATTTTGAGTAGTGTCTTAGCTGCTACAATGTTGAAAACAAGTCAAGATTATGTTCACTCTGGTTACTTGATATATAGTTTATACAGATTAACTAACTAAGTTTACTAGAGTTTTTAATATCAAGATTTTGTCGAGAAGCCCTAAAGGCAGCACTAGATGAAAAGTTACACACACGTATTTGTGAAATTGACAGACTGTAGAACGCCCCCTGCCGGCAGCTACAATGATCGCATGCGTGGAGGGCGCTACAACATTTGGCTCAACATACTAGTAAGTGCCTAATGATGAGCAAAATGGTATTTTGAATATTAAGATTCGGGAATTTTGCAGTAACATCATTACAGTAATGCATGTATGAACGCAATATGCATGATCATTATTGCATGCTAAACTATGGAGGCCAAATTGTATCCGATGCATTCCGGTTAAAAATGTGGAAATGACAACAATTTACTACAAAATAAACAATCAACAAAAACATTACTTAAATAATAAAATAAGAGAAATATATATTGACTCATGGTATACATGACGTGATGTAAGAATTGGCAGATACTCATGGGCTTATCCAATAGGATCACTATAACCCGTCTCACAAAAAATCACGTTTCCCAAAGAAATAATAATGAGATAAACTTTGAACTTTGACTTTTTTGTATATTGTTCATAACATCGTCCGAATCGTACGGTTTCGCTAAAGCCGGTCATTCATAATCGGCCCACAAACCCGTCCGTGATCGTGTTAGGAAACGCTGTATTTCGCTACAGTTAAATTGAGTCATTTGATTGGGCGCGCCAAGGAGCTAGCGTCACCAATCATCGTTGCTGTATCATAGATGTGGAGTCGTTACAGATTAGAACAATGGCGTGTGTAGGCGTCGCGCTGATTCACCAGGAGTTAAGAAAGGTCTATATTCGTTGACACGTTTCCAATTTGTTTTATTCTAACGTTGACAATTGTTTGTGGGCAAGTGAACGTAGACGATGGAATGTCTGAATATTTGTGCAAACCGTGTTAGAGTAAACTGACAGAACTATCGAAACTGATAACGTATCGGCTTGCTCTATCCGGTCTTCGTTACAACATAGTCCCTGATACAGTACTAAGCGCTTTCTTTTGATGATCAGTAATCTCGTTAACAGAGCAAAATACCCATTGAAACATTCGGATGTAGGTTCTCTCTCAAAAACACGAATAAGAATGATGCTTTCAATATCAGGTGGTTCTCGCTCAACTGGTTCGTAACCAGTCATGTGATTGGTTGTTGACAAATTCTGAACAAGCCACGCCTCCAACTGTGCCGTGCGTTCGGGCAAACCGTTAAGTAACTATTCATAAATGGAGTCAATTTGTGTAGTTTTCTTGATTTATTCTGCAGATATAGGTAAAATATAGGTAAAGATTTGGCGAAATTTAAAAGAGCAACTAATATTCTTCAACTTGGTATTTTTTATAGATTTTGTTTTTCATTCTTCTCGTCTGTTTTTTAGAGTTTAAAATATGTGAGCTGGCTGGAGCTTTCATCCCTTGTCTATTTCTTACACTAGATACCAACCTGGGCTTCCTGTGAATTAATGTGTCGTTTCTATCATGAGTTCTGATTGGGTAATGCAAATTAGCCCAAGTGAATCTTATAATCGCTTGAGGGCGTGCGACATACAGTAAATCGTGGTGAAATCTGCCAAGGGTTTATGTTGAGGCTTCGGCCGAATAAATGAACCTTGACTGGCGAAGATGTGTTTATAACAGCTACGCAGGTTTTACAAGACGAAATTTCACTTACTTTTGTCACAAAAGAACTTTTTTCTTAAAACTTACCACCTCAGGCTGATATTGAAAGCATTATTCTTATTCGTGTTTTTGAGAGGGAACCTACACCCGAATGTTTCAATGGGTATTTGCAACTGGACTTTCTATCTAATTTTAAGGTCATCGCCTATTGGCTGATATGTTGAATGGCGATGCCCATTTCAAAAACTTCCGGGAATGTGCTCTAGGTTCTTCATGTAATTAGGTATTCGTGTGCATAGGAATTTTTCCACACAAAAATGACAAATTCGGACGAATTTTGTTAGCATTTACCCAAACTGTGAAAGTTTAGCATTTCCCCCGATTGGAATCCTAAAAACGAGTTTCTCAATTTGTCTCTTTCTTTAGTTTCAAGCCGTAAGTTAAAGATGGCAACCCCCATATCGTAAATATCGTTAAGTTATTCGCGTTTATTTTATTATCACTTGTACGCCGGCTCACTGTGAAATGTGCTATAGCCTCGGTGTTAGAGGTTCCGTCCATCTATGTCTAAAATTTGTATTCGATTCACCCATACATAGTTTAGACAAAAGGTAGTTAAAAGTGTCACGGTAGCGGTTTACTAATCGAATTGCCTCAACAACATATCAAGTGCCGCCTACGATGTAAAATGCATTTCAAAAAACAGTAAACGATTGCCTCACTTGGGTTGGCATCAGTGTTCAATGATAAATTATTTTATGTTGTCTAATTTCAGTGAATCTTTACAAATTATTATGAATGAGTTTTTAAATAATCGTCTTATGTCAAGAGACGGTTAGACGGTTGGTTGATTAATGCCCGGGTGTTTGTCTACTTCAAGAGCGTTTATAAGCAGTCAGATATTAACTATACCACATATATGTAGTACTAATTTACCACTTAACACCCACACCTCATCCCACCCACACACACACACACACGGGTTAAAACAAACCGCTTCGATACCGCTAACTCACTACGGGTTGCATTGAAATTTTAATTTAGCCAAGCTCTTTTGCTGTAAGTGTTATTGTTTCTATTCGTATAGTTTCTATTACATTGTGTTCATTGGAGCAATGATCGACGTCACACGGTCGGCGGACATCTATACGCCATTCTTTCGTGAGGAATACATGCCCAACGTCTAATTTACGAGCCGCATGCATTTGTAAACATTCTGTGACATGTGAAAACACGTCGCCAGTGAGTTGCCATCATGGATATATTACTTGTTGGCTCAAATTCATCTTATATTTTTTTTCTGAATTTGTTACAGAATTGCAAAACAAAAAAACGGGGCTAGGTTTTCATCGCGCGTGTCAGTTTGAATCTACGCCTCATACTAGTATTTTATTTTATTTTGCATTTGAGCGTATTGGTAAAGTGCGCCACATACGACTGAATGGCGAAATGTATGTTGCCTGTTTCAGAGGGTGTGTATTCAAAAGCATTAATTAATAAATCTAAAACTTGAACATATAGCATATTGCTGTAGTTCTGAATAATCTTGACCAAGGAACAAGAGTTCATGTGTGTCGTTCATAGTACACCTTCAATGCACGCGTCCAGTTAAAATCATGCATGATACAGACATTATTACACGTCAATCTCGTGATGTCACGCAGTTTTACTCATGACCTTGGTATTTTGCTCGTTGCTAAGCGACTCATCAAAATATCAAGAGTACACGTAATACGACGCATTATCACGTGGCTGTCGTGTAATAGAACCTTTGAACATTCAAGGAGACAAACATAGTATTCAACTTGAATTTGATATGGCCGTGTTTTTGACATTTATTCACGAATATATGATAATTTTATACATCATAGCGGACATAGAAATTTTGCAAAATGACGTAAACTTTTAATTTTCAAAATTGTTGTTTGATACTTGCGCGAGATATATGGGTCTCATATAAACAAATATGGCGACTTTGACTGTTGCGCAGATCAACGAGCACAAACAGAGACGTTACCAAGTTTTAAGTACGTATGTTATTAGGTGTTTAGAAGGTATCGAAGGAGTCATGAGTGGTAATTAGTGCTAGTCACGCCCAGGTCGAATCTCGTACTTATGATTCCATTAGAAGAGCGCATTGGATTGTGGGAAAATCAATGTTTATCAACACAAATGTCGCAGATGCGCAGCGCGACGACTACCGTCCTTTAATGAATACACTAGTCTATGGTATTTTGCGTCGTAATCGGCAGTTTTATTGGGAAAAAGTCAAGGATCTCGACCGAAAACGGCAACCGTCCAAGAAATGGCACACTGAATGTACTCATTGTGTTGCGAACAAACAGGTTTGGTATCAATACAGACATCACTGTGCCACCATACTTAAAGCGGGGGAGTTGCCACCTGCGCATGCGTCAGGTGGTCATAGCGTGTCATTGTTTACAAACAAGCTTCTACCCATGAGCCTTTGCGTGTTTAGCGTGTTTTGTTATCGTCGCTTGGGACTCAATTCCCACGCGTGCGTAGGTGACCACCCTTCCGCTTTAATGTGTATGGATCATGATATGTCCGATATGGACGCTGTGTTATATGTGTTGAATTCGTTTGGCCTTAATTCATTTTTCATTAAAAAAAACGAACAAAACAATCACATGTTACAGTAATATGCATAATTTAATACATCACTCGTTTATCAGTATATTACATAAATTATAAGAACTAAAACAACTAAATACTAATGGCGCACAAAGAAAGCTCAAGCTGTCACTTATACCAGTCTGCTGACTGCGCATGCGTGTTCAAAACAATAACAAGTGGGTAACTTCTAAAATCACAATCATATACGCGTCGATCTTTTTTCTGCCATCTAGCTGAATCAAAAATACAACATTTCTGCTTTTCTATAGTGCTATGTTATTGCATTTTGTTTACATTTGCTTTGGCATCTTGTATTTCTGGGGGTTGGCATTACTTTCACAGAATATCCTCGTTTTAAAAACGGCAAAGCAGGGCGTTATTAATATACAAAAGTAGCAAGTGAACCTAGCTATTGAAAGTTAACTATCATTGTACAAAGCTTTGACAAAAATATAGATTTTGACATGAACACAGCTTCGTACGTGAGTTTCCATATGTCACCATAGTAGTTCAGGTCAAAGTTCTCTGCATGCATTCATGACACTGGCGAAGTTGGAATTGCTTCCCACACACCTTAATTTATTTGTCAAAAGTGGAATATTTGATACTATTTCAATATTATCTGCATATATAATGAATAAGTAGAAATGGAGTCTTGATGTGACATGGTGCGCACTGTAAAATTGAACATTGCGCAAGTCTAAGAATTTTAAATATGCGCTTTACGAGTGAAAGGTTACAAACAAACAAACACGGTATGAGGGACCTCTGACGTGTACACTAATACCATTTGTGTTTCGATACTAGTCAACAGGACTCAGCCAACATTGACATCGACCGAGAGAGGGCGTTCCACCACTATAAACTGTACTGAAAGACTGCGGGCAGTAGCATGGAGATCCAAATCCTTTAAAAACGGCGAATGCCGAGGTAAATAAATTCATACACTTGAAGAGACTAATAATTCAATTACAGGTGGGAAAAAAATCAAATCAAAGGGAGTGTTCAAATATGATACAAGCATAAAATATCTTCACTGAAACTCTTCAATTATCTGAAACGATAAAACATAAAAAAAAAATCATTACAAACTATATGGATTAGGATGTTGCTAAAATGGCGCAGGGTAAACGTTAGTGCGCGTGCGCTTCGAATTATATATGTACGCATTGGTAAATACAAGGCGCAAGCGCAATAACGTTTTAAATATTTCACTGAATTAATACTAAATTTAAGTGATTCTATGCATAGCCGAGAGGTAAACCCCGATTGAACGATGTTTGTCTCACGATTTTCCGTTCATGGTACAGTATATACATCATCAGTGCGTGCCCACACCATTAAGCGAAACTACATAAAGACAAAAAGCGTGAAGCAAATAAAGAAAGTAGTAAATTTGTTTTGCTCGGGAAAACTAGAATAGAATTGTCCGGCAAACTAATATAGTATTGACATTTTTTTTGTTAATTTACTTGTGTGAAAACATTCATTATTTTTTTTTTTGTTATTTTTTTGACTATTCTATCCTAGCTACCTCAGCGGAAATACTGCCCTACCCGTAAACTACTTTGAAAGAACGATATATTGGGGGTTTCACGAATGATCACCGTACCCTGTAAATGTCTTATGCTTCAGCGACCGGATTACTTCCCCTTGACTGCCGCATCCTTTTATGACCACCCAGTCCCGATAGAAGCCTCTGGGCGAAAAGCGCAGCATTTCGTCTAGCGCGTTGTCCCATAGAACTCAGCAATCGTTGTGTGAACAGGGACGCATTCCGGCGGTCTTTAACCCCTGAGTGGAAACCGGACAAGAGACGGTTGGTGAATAATGCGGCATTTCTCCTATCTAAAAAGTCTTCGTCGTGTTCTTGTTGGTCGGCATCCCACTGTTCTTCGTCAAGCTCTGTTGCGGATATAAAGGATGTTGTGCATGCCAGTATATAAAGGCAAACGACGGTAAGTAGAATAAGGCGAATTTCTAAACTGGCCATAGATGATTCTGTAAAATAAAGAAACGAGACATTTATTCACATGTTTTTTACACACATCAATAAATATATACATCATTATTATACATCTGTCACCGTAACGCCATAAGTTACAGCGTGCCGTAATTTTACGTTATTTTACAGGGTATTTTCATTCTACTATATAAGGAAATGCGAATTATAAATATGGAATGATTATGCGCGTAAGCGTCCTCTATTAATAAAAACAAACATGGCTGCCACCAGGATTTGACCGGACTCCACACAAAGAAGTTCGCTGATTCTGTTATAAACTTTTTGGATTTAGGCATTCCCATAATGTATCCTTGATGTATTCTTGTAGGGAAAATATGTATAATAATACGTGTCGGTCGGTACTTCCGCTGTACTATCTTCGTGCATACTTTGAAGTATCCTCGTAATAACCTAATATTATACAAATTACGTCGTACTGCGGTCATTAATACGTATGTGGTTTACACAGAACACCTGATTGACTGAAACGCCTGCTGTTTGACGTAAATTTCAGTTGTTTCGCGATTTCCGTACTGAAATCCCACAAAACTTACACGCCATCATGTTACACACGCAATCTAAAATCGGTTTGGGACCCATTTTGAGTACTCGAGTTATCAATCACAACGATCGCCATTCTTAAGTATCCACCCATGGTTTAGATATCTGTCGGATTTTGTTTTAATTTTTTTGGCAATTTATTTGGATGTTTCCATTTTTACAACTTTTATTTTTCACGTTTCAAGGCAGGACGGAACAACAGAATTCATCTACGGGTAGATTTCACTGCCTCTGTATTTTTATATCTTGTTTAGTTGAGGTAGTGTTTGTGTTCAATATATATCTTACCCTCTGGCGCCGACTTAGTATTTACTCGGTTTAATACAATTCGGCACAGTTTAATACGTTTTTATCTAAAAGATGCAACCGAGGAGAGTTGGCAGTACTCTAGGTGTATTTCATTAGACATGAGATATATTTCAATTGTATTTCCGAGCGCTTTGCAGACAGTGTATCGTTCAAATCTGAATGCACTGAGCGTAACATTGGCATGGATACAGTCATGTTGGAATATTACACAATTTACACCCACATTCACGGCATAGACAGAATTCCATGCACTTGCCAGACATCGAGAGGACTTACGTTAGTGATTAGACTGTCCCACAAGATTTTTCTACACGGTTAAGTACAAGTGAAATTACTAGTATCAGCAACTTCCTCTGATTACATTTGTCGATTGGCTATTTTCTCTGAAGACTACACCCCCGCCGGAACTCAAACGTCATTTAATGCCTCGCCACACTAGAGTGATATAACACCTGCAATACGGAACTACCCTCAAGGCAAGTGAAAACATCGCTGATAAGACAGAAGAATCTAGGAGATACATGCATGCTCCGACTTCAACCTTCAAATTTGCGGTGGATATCATTTTAAGACGAAAGAATGTTTAATATGATAAATAATATCCATATATGCATTTGAGACCAGGCGAGTATGATCATATGAAAAAAATGGAAATACTAATCTGCGCTATATTTCTGGAGAACGATGGTTCTTTTTCTGAGTAATTAAAACTCTGAAGGCAGGGCTATTGAAAATTTAAATATCTACATGTGATACAACTGAAAAAAACAACAAAATAACAATGACCGTATAGGAACAATATAAAACAGCAACGTCACCCAAAAACATTTGGTATTAACCTCATCATGGTTTCTGACGACCAACCATTTATGTGTAGTTTTTGTACTTTTCGTTTTCTATGACACTTTCCCCAAAGAGTGTCGGCTTTTACTTTGAAGATAGGTCCTGGCCCCAATCGTTTTGTCTAAGAGCTGTTTTTCCCGAAGACAAGCTATGTTAAAAATACCCGGGCTGAAGTGCTGTAAGTATACTTGAATACTGTCTAATGGATATTCCAACCCCATTCTATAATTTCCTGCTTCACTTGTATTTGCAATGCGAATGCATATAACGAGCGTAAAGCTACGCCGTCTGAACTGGAACCGATATCGCGTCATCTAAAAATGGTCGATTTGTGATGAAAAGTGACGAATTAGCATCGAGCTGCGCATCCTGTTATACGTACTCACCCAAGTAATGTTTCACCATCAATTATTGTCAGGGTCAATGTTTCTTTCAGAATGACGTAGATAATGCCGGTGAACGACACGTTCCGTGTTGACCCCCCACTGACATCATTTTTTTGCAAACCAATACAGATGATTGATTTCTTTTTTCGGAAGACTGAAATTGGACTATCAGCCGGCAGGTTTATGCTTTATAGTGTTATGTATAGTGGCACTTTGGCAGATTATTTACTTCTTTGTATGCTGGCTCATGCTTCGTAAATGTCTATCGAACAGTGTTCGTGATGGCGATTTAATTCGTGATGAACAGACAGTTTAAAATTGACGAATATGCACTTAAGTTCTTAAACCTGGCATCAAATGCACAGGAGTATGCATAACGTTCTTATGACGTTAGAGTGTAGTATGGCGCGTGTCAAACATCGTTTTCTTTCATTCAGTTATCTGACAAATATATCCCTAAACCCATAAATATCAGATTACAGACGTATTGCACAAGAGGCAATTCTTATGCGATTTAATGGTTTCTAAAAAACGTCGATATTTCCACACTTGTAGAAATAAAATATGCATTTATATCTGTAATGTAAAGTACTCTTTTATAATAAAAACTATTTTCAACACTATCAACTCTTTAATCGAATATTTTTCCTAACTTCACATACTGTACAGTGTGATCCATACCTCTCTTTATATTCATTAAACTTCTATGGTACACGAAACATATAAATTTTCAATACAACTTACATTAATACAACGTCAATAAAACAACACATTTTTCTTAGATCTAAGTTATTGGTTTATGCAGATTAATTGATTTCTAACATATGCATATATATGTTTTGTATTCGCTAAATGATATTATGCTGGTGCAACTCTGTAAAATTCGATTTTGTTCAAAGTTATCTAAATTAAAGTTAAAGATGAACGTGTTCCCGAAAATAAATTACCCTAAAATTGAATGAAATTGATCTCAACAATAATAGTACATACTGCATTAGTCCCACCGCCACATCTGCACGATTAGGTTTAAACCAGGCGACTAGCAATTTGGTATCGATTATCTGATTTTCAAAATTCTATATAACTATATTTCAATATAACCGTTATTCTTGTTCCTTTTTTTCCCAACCGAAACTATAGCATACCAGCTTAGAGACCTTTTGAATAACACATATTGAAATTAACGTTTTCTAAATATGATAACGTTTTAGGGTAATCTTACAATTTTGAGGTTTCCAATTCCAATTCAGTCTTTGTTTTTACAATTGATTTAATGTGAATCGACGTTCATTTGCGTGTTGCCGGGGGGGGGGGTGTTTCTAATGTGTTTTTAAAAGTATTTTTTCACAGGCTAAAAGATGTTGAACACTTCCAAAAATAGTATCCAATGCATTCACGCAAGTGTTTTTCTATGATAGTGAATTCAAGCATTAAAACTACATCAAAATTATGTTTCAGCTCAGTACATTTTTGTTGTTAATTTATTATATTAAGTCCTACTCCAGTCTATAACAATACTCTACGTTTTAGCATGTCCCACTTCTATATTCAATTCAGTCTGAACGTCAGTAACATCTTAAATAATGGTTACGAATACTAGTAATTCATTTTTTTCAATTACAAAATTTAAACCCTTTATTCAATATATTTTTCCTTTATTAGATTTTAACCCCGAACAGTTACCACACCAGTCAATTTTGTCGAGAAGCCACGTCATTTATTCATCTATAATGACGTGCGTGTCGTATTATTATTGACTAACTATAATTGTACTTTCATGTTTATTAAGATTCAATCCGGGCCAGGGTCATTTGTGATAATCTGAGATGAGTATAACAACAAATAATGGAACTAATAGCGGGTGTTTGTTGGAAACATAACTTGTTGTTAAAAGAAGTATTACTTCTTTTAGAAATTGGTTATTTTGAAATCATATGCACATGAAATAGAAATGTCGTTAAGTAACTCACTTAAAGCCTGGACGACCTTCATATTAGTCTCGAACTTGCCAATAATATCCCATTAGGCTACGACGGATTTTCCAATTATATGCATGTGTATTCTTTCCAATTTCCACCAAATCCAATATTTGCCGATGTTTTCACCCACAATTCCCAGCAATGAACTTTAATTTCAAAACTATAGGGTGTATATTAACGTCTAGGCACAGAACTCTTGTTGTTTGACTTCAGTTATTAAAAAACCACGGGATATTATTTTGAAAAGATGAACTTACACTTCACGTATAAACCATGTGTGGTCACAGTGACGTATCTAAAGCTCAAATTGTACTGAATTAAAAGGGAATTCGATTTTATATATGTTGCGTTCATGTATCGAATTACAATCACGTGCCACATGATATTTGATTAATTGGTTGATCCACAAGCTCCACATTATTTAGAAGTTATCAGCATATACACATTATTGACACCAACCACGGTTACTCATTACATGGAATATATTTGAAAATAGCAAGATTAAATATGACTTTGATGAAGGCGACGTCCGTAAATGCATTCGAGTGAGACTAACATATCGTTCCAACTATAAAAAGAGCGTATCGAAGATACGCTAACTGAGAGTTGTGGGTGCACGACCCTTATATTGTATCATATTATACAATAACTTTATTTTCGTCTTTTTTACGAATCACAGCGGAAGCATAGATAAACCACTGACGTCTTGGTTACGGGCTATTGTGAATAATTCTATTTTTCAAGCAAAATACTAGGCGATATCGATCGACTGACGTACGATTCACATAATTCGATTAATAAAGTTAGCCAAATCAAGCATAACACGTGACTCATAATAATGCGAGACGTCATAAGTTGTTCTTCAAAGAATTTACTGACAAATTCACTGCAAATTATGAAATGCCAGTTTTATTCTGT